TCAATACATACTTCGTTCCGGTGCATGTGCTAGTATTGATGGATGGTGCTTATATGTAGTGATGGTTGTGTTATATGTGTGATGATGATGGATGGTGTTATATAGTGATGATGGATGTTGTTATATGTAGTGATGATGGATGGTGTTATGTGATGATGAATGATGTTATATGTGGTGATGGATGTTGTTATATGTAGTGATGATGGATGATGTTATATGTAGTGATGATGGATAGTGTTATATGTAGTGATGAAGGATGATGATGTTATATGTGGTGATGATGGATGTTGTTATATTTAGTGATGATGGGTGGTGTTATATGTGATGATGGATGGTGTTATATATAGTGATGGATGGTGTTATATGGGTGATGATGGATAGGTTGATTGATGATGTAGTGATGGTGGGTTGATGTTGTATGTAAGTGATGATGGATGGTGCTTTATGTAATGATGATGGATAGTGTATATATAGTGATGATGATGCATAGTGTTATATATAGGTGATGATGATGGCTGTGTTATCTGGTGATGATGAATGATATTATATGTGTATGATTGTTGGTGTTATAATGGTGATGTTGGACGGTTATTGCTGTTAGTGGTGATGGTTGGTGTTATGTAGTGATGTTGGATGGTGTTATATGGTGATGATGGGTGTTGTTATGTAGTGATAATGGATGATGTTATATGATGGATGATGATGTTATATGTGATGATGGGATTGTTGTTGTATGTAGTGATAATGGATGATGTTTAGTGATGATGGGTGTTGTTATGGTGATAATGGATGATGTTATATGGTGATGATGATGGATGATGTTATGTAGTGATGATGGATGTTGTTATATGTAGTGATGGTGGTGTTTGTTATATGTAGTGATGATGGATGGTGTTATGTGGTGATGGTGGGTGTTGTTATATGGTGATGATGGATGGTGTTATGTGGTGATGATGAATGTTGTTATATGTAGTGATGATGGATGTTGTTGTAGTGATGATGGATGTTATGGTGATGATGGATGGTGTTATATGATGATGGATGTTGTTATATGTAGTGATGGATGATTGTTATGTGATGATGGATGATGATATGATGATGATGATGGATGGTGTTATGTGATGATGGATGGTGTTATATGTGATGATGATGGATGGTGTTATATGGTGATGATGGATGATGTTATATGTAGTGATGATGATGGATGGTGTTATATGTGGTATGATGATGGGATGGTGTTATATTAGTGATGATGGATGATGTTATGTAGTGATGATGGATGGTGTTATATGTAGTGATCAGATGTTGTTATATGTAGTGATGATGGATGGTGTTATATGTAGTGATGATGGATGGTGTTATATGTAGTGATGATGATGGATGGTGTTATATGTAGTGATGATGGATGATGTTATTGGTGATGATGGATGGTGTTATATGTAGTGATGATGAATGTTGTTATATGTAGTGATGATGGATGGTGTTATATGTAGTGATGATGGATGATGTTATATGTAGTGATGATGATGGATGGTGTTATATGTAGTGATCATGAATGTTGTTATATGTAGTGATGATGGATGGTGTTATAGTGATGATGGATGTTGTTATATGTAGTGATGATGGATGGTGTTATATGTAGTGATGATGATGGATGGTGTTATATGTAGTGATGATGAATGTTGTTATATGTAGTGATGATGGATGGTGTTATATGTAGTGATGATGAATGATGTTATATGTAGTGATGATGGATGGTGTTATATGTAGTGATGATGGATGTTGTTATATGTAGTGATGATGGATGATGGTATATGTAGTGATGAGTGATGGATAGTCTTACATGTAATGATGATGGATGATGATGTTATATAGTGATGATGGATGGTGTTATATGTAGTGATGATGAATGTTGTTATATGTGGTGATGATGGATGATTATGTGTAGTGATGTTGATGGATGTTGTTATGTGGTGATGATGATGGATGGTGTTATATTAGTGATGATGATATTTGTTATATGTAGTGGATGTTGTTATATATGGTGATGGTGGGTGTTGTTATATGTAGTGATGATGGATGGTGTTATATGTAGTGATGGTGGGTGTTGTTATATGGTGATGATGGATGGTGTTATTGTAGTGATGATGAATGTGTTGTTATATGTGGTGATGATGGATGGTGTTATATGTAGTGGTGATGATGGATAGTGTTATATGTAGTGATGATGATGGATGGTGTTATATGTAGTGATGATGAATGTTGTCATATGTAGTGATGATGGATGTTGTTACATTGGTGATGGTGGGGTTGTTATATGTGATGATGGATGGTGTTATATGCTAGTGATGGTGGGTGTTGTTATGTGATGATGGATGGTTGTTATGTGGTGATGATGAATGTTGTTATATGTAGTGATGATGGATGTTGTTATATGTAGTGATGAACGATGGATGATGAATGTTGTTATATGGTGATGATGGATGGTGTTATGTGATGATGATGGATGGTGTTATATGTAGTGATGATGAATGTTGTTATATGTAGTGATGATGGATGGTGTTATATGTAGTGATGATGGATGATGCTATGTAGTGATGATGGATATTGTTATATGTAGTGATGATGGATGTTGTGATATGTAGTGATGATGGATGGTATTATATGTAGTGATGATGGATGGTATTATATGTAGTGATGGATGATGATGTTATATGTAGTGATGATGGATGTTGTTATATTTAGTGATGATGGATGGTATTATATGGTGATGATGGATGGTGTTATATGTAGTGATGGATGTTGTTATGGTGATGATGAATGATGTTATTTATAGTGATGATGGATGATGATATGGTGATGATGGATGTTGTTATATGTAGTGATGGTGGATGTTATACCAACAACACACCCTCCAACACCAACACACACACACACCCTCAACACCACACACACACACACCCTCCAACACCACACACACACACACAAACAC